TAAAATTTCTTCATTTTCCCTGTTTAGAATCAGAGGTGCTAGTTTCAAATACTTTTTAGTCTGAAATCTGTATGCTAGATATTGAATAAGATGGTTTTATTGTTTTTTGTCACTTTGAATAATATTTGTTCATTTTAAAAACAAAATCAACTCTCTGTATAAATATATCAGGTGACCGCTAAGGCCCATGGGCCTCTTGTTAATTAGAACTGTAACAGATCAATTGATTTTTTTTTCAAAAGTTGATCTAATTATGTTGCTAGCAAACCGTCCCTATATAAGTATTGGGGTAGCTAATAATAACTTTTAAAATCTCCCGATGATCTCCAAGAATTAGGACATGTACGCCTTTTAAACAAGCTTGCCGAGGCTGGTATTACATAGAAATTATAATTATAGAAATATACTAATTGCTTTCAAAGAATATTTTCTCGGATATCCATGGAATAGTGTGCTTTGATATATCTGGAAAGATTATGCATATCTATGAGATCATGGTTGTTCTGAGACCATCGGTCTTTATGATCATTTTCCCCCCAGTGTTTACATGTAATATTGACTTGGAGTAAGGTTAGGTGCTTGGTGTGACAATTTGGTTGTCTTAGTAACAGTTTGACAACAAAAAATAATCATTTATTTGGTTGGTGATTTCTGTGTCTCACCCTCCAGGTAGGGGAATATTGTATATTATTAATCAACACAAAAGTTTAAAGTCCATAGACAAGATAATATTCAAAAAAGCTGAAGGCCAGACAAGGTGGATCAGTTTCCTCAAATATTGTAAAGTTGGATGTCTTACAATTCTTTCATTAATCTTAATCCTGCCAGGACATGCTGACTGACTATATTCAAATAATATATATATTGCAAATTCTGGTTAAATTACTTTTTTTCTTGTGTAATAATACAACTTGATAAAAAAAAAAACAGCTAGAAGGTAATGATTCTCTAAGCAATGTACGATTATTAAAATAAAGAATTATTTAGGCTAGAAGGAACACTATGCTACATCTTTGTTTCATCCGCAGTACGGTGAGAATAGTGATCTCGCAAATGCTGAAATGCCGGATACATTTCGAGAGCGTGTATTAGTTTTATTACGGTACCGTCGAGGATGCGGCGCTGCAGTCGCATTGTTTACAACACCGGAATGGTTGAAGTTCAAGCGAACGTCTGTTTGCAGTAGGTCTATTAGGTATGTTTTTTGATAGGGATGTGCACGTCTACAATAAAATGAGACGCAAAATTAACATTTCAGCACGTTTGTAAAACTATCCATTCGGGCTGAATTAATTGGAGGGTTTAAATTTTAAAAGTAAATGGTCTAGATATACTCGGGACGAAATGTCTCTTCCTTTCTCTCAATGGAGCAGACGGGCACCTCTGCCCGTTTTTTTCATAATCCCCAAGCTAAGTCTGTTTTAGACATAAGTAAAAAAACACTTGAGACTTAAGTCCAGATTTAGACTTACAAGTCTGTTTCATGAACCTGGGCCCCGGACATCGTCCGTCTCGGAGTATTGTTAGTTGGTTCATACAATATTAATAATAAATGAGAATCTTGGCCATGCACCGAATTCATAAAAGTAATATGTATAACCCTATTGGATGCTTTGTGAAATCGTCAAGTGAAAGTACGTTTATCATATATTATTTCAACAACCGACAGATCATTCGGTGAAACAATTTACAAATAATCGATTAATAATGTGTCTCTGATATCGTGTAGAAACCTAAGATATGGAATAAAAACGTATACTACAGTCGATAAACAACTATGCAAAATTGTAATTATTTACTAAACATTATTATCTACTGCTAATTTATCGTAACTACATGTAACCACTATAGATAGGAAATCTCGATTAAACTAGTTATCTTCTCGGATCGTTTTATTCCATTTCGTTTTCAATCATTCCTCGCGTTTCGTTCCACCTACTTTCAATCCATTCCGTTCCTGTGAGCAAAACATGTTTCGTTTCGTTCTATTCGCATTTCGTTCCAAACAGTGAAATTATTTTTGTTCCGTTCCATTAAGGCCTTGTTTTGTTCCGTTTTCATTTCGTTCTTGTTGCGTTTTCATTGCGTTTTCATTCCTTTCCGTTTGTCAACTGAAACGCTGTCACCCCTGTACCGGGTGTCAGTGGTACATAACCGTCCCGCTCTGTGCCTTATAACCAGGTTTCAGTGATACATAACCGTCCCGCTCTGTGCCTTAGAACCAGGTGTCAGTGGTACATAAATGTCCCGCTCTGTGCCTTATAACCAGGAGTCAGTGGTACATAACCGTCCCGCTGTGTGCCTTATATCCAGGAGTCAGTGGTACATAACCTGCCCGCTCTGTGCCTTATAACCAGGAGTCAGTGGTACATAACCTGCCCGCTCTGTGCCTTATAACCAGGTTTCAGTGATACATAACCGTCCCGCTCTGTGCCTTATAACCAGGTGTCAGTGGTACATAACCTTCCCGCTCTGTGCCTTATAATATAACCAGGTGTCAGTGGTACATATAACCGTCCCGCTCTGTGCCTTATAGCCAGATATCAGTAGTACATAACTGTCCCGCTCTGTGCCTTATAACCAGGTGTCAGTGTTACATAACCGTCCCGCTGTGTGCCTTATAACCAGGAGTCAGTGGTACATAACCTTCCCGCTCTGTGCCTTATACTATAACCAGGTGTCAGTGGTACATATAACCGTCCCGCTATGTGCCTTATAGCCAGATATCAGTAGTACATAACTCTCCCGCTCTGTGCCTTATAACCAGGTGTCAGTTGTACATAACCTTCCCGCTCTGTGCCTTATAACCAGGTGTCAGTTGTACATAACCTTCCCGCTCTGTGCCTTATAACCAGGTGTCAGTTGTACATAACCTTCCCGCTCTGTGCCTTATAACCAGGTGTCAGTTGTACATAACCTTCCCGCTCTGTGCCTTATAACCAGGGGTCAGTGGTACATAACCGTCCCGCTCTGTGCCTTATAGCCAGATGTCAGTAGTACATAACTGTCCCGCTCTATGCCTTATAACCAGGAGTCAGTGGTACATAACCTTCCCGCTCTGTGCCTTATACTATAACCAGGTGTCAGTGGTACATATAACCGTCCCGCTCTGTGCCTTATAGCCAGATGTCAGTAGTACATAACTGTCCCGCTCTATGCCTTATAACCAGGAGTCAGTGGTACATAACCTTCCCGCTCTGTGCCTTATAACCAGGTGTCAGTGTTACATAACCGTCCCGCTGTGTGCCTTATAACCAGGTGTCAGTGGTACATCACCGTCCCGCTGTGTGCCTTATAACCAGGTGTCAGTTGTACATAACCTTCCCGCTCTGTGCCTTATAATATAGCCAGGTGTCAGTGTTACATATAACCGTCCCGCTCTGTGCCTTATAACCAGGGGTCAGTGGTACATAACCGTCCCACTCTGTGCCTTATAACCAGGTGTCACTGGTACATACCCGTCCCGCTCTGTGCCTTATAACCAGGTGTCACTGGTACATAACCGTCCCGCTCTGTGCCTTATAGCCAGATGTCAGTAGTACATAACTGTCCCGCTCTATGCCTTATAACCAGATGTCAGTGGTACATAACCGTCCCGCTCTGGGCCTTATAACCAGGTGTCAGTGGTACATAACCTTCCCGCTCGGTGCCTTATAACCAGGTGTCAGTGGTACATACCCGTCCCGCTCTGTGCCTTATAACCAGGTGTCACTGGTACATAACCGTCCCGCTCTGTGCCTTATAACCAGGTTTCAGTGATACATAACCGTCCCGCTCTGTGCCTTATAACCAGGTGTCACTGGTACATAACCGTCCCGCTCTGTGCCTTATAACCAGGTTTCAGTGGTACATAACCGTCCCGCTGTGTGCCTTATAACCAGGAGTCAGTGGTACATAACCTTCCCGCTCTGTGCCTTATAACCAGGTGTCAGTTGTACATAACCTTCCCGCTCTGTGCCTTATAATATAGCCAGGTGTCAGTGTTACATATAACCGTCCCGCTCTGTGCCTTATAACCAGGTTTCAGTGGTACATAACCGTCCCGCTGTGTGCCTTATAACCAGGTGTCAGTGGTACATAACCGTCCCGCTCTGTGCCTTATAGCCAGGTGTCAGTGGTACATAACTGTCCCGCTCTATGCCTTATAACCAGGTGTCAGTGGTACATAACCGTCCCGCTCTGTGCCTTATAGCCAGGTGTCAGTGGTACATAACTGTCCCGCTCTATGCCTTATAACCAGGTGTCAGTGGTACATAACCGTCCCGCTTTGTGCCTTAATTATAACCAGGTGACACTGGTACATAACAGTCCCCCTCTGTGCCCTATAGCTACGAGTGTTAGGATGAGGGGTTGCACCTACAATGTACGAGAATACTCGAGAGGCATGTACAGTTACAGGTGCTAGATGTCCATACTTTCCACTCTCTCACTCATGTGTGACGTACATGATCAGACTAGCTACTGTTTCTATGTTTCCATGTTTAAAGAAATTACAATTCTGATTGGACAGCCTATACTGTTTCTATGTTTCAGTGTTAAGTGAGATGACACTACTGATTGGACAGCCTATACTGTTTCTATTTTTCAGTGTTAAGTGAGGTAACAGTACTGATTGGACAGCCTATACTGTTTTTATGTTTCAGTGTTAAGTGAGGTAACGGTACTGATTGGACAGCCTATACTGTTTTTATGTTTCAGTGTTAAGTGAGGTGACAGTACTGATTGGACAGCCTACACTGTTTCTATGTTTCAGTGTTAAGGGAGATGACAGTACTGATGGGACTGCCGATAAAAATGTTTTACTACATAGTCTCCTTATTACTCAATAAGGAGACTATGTAGTAAAACATTTTTATCGGCAGTCCCATCAGTACTGTCATCTCCCTTAACACTGAAACATAGAAAGAGTATAGGCTGTCCAATCAGTAATGTTACCTCACTTAACACTGAAAAATAGAAACAGTACTGATTGGACAGCCTACACTGTTTCTATGTTTCAGTGTTAAGGGAGATGACAGTACTGATGGGACTGCCGATAACAATGTTTTACTACATAGTCTCCTTATTACTCAATAAGAGAATTGCTGCTGCTAAAGAATTTCACAAGGTAATTAACAATATAATATACAACTTTAACAACACTAAACTTACTACTGTTTTGTAGATCCATGAAAATACCATAATATATGATTACTGTGAAAATACTTTTAGTTTTGTAATGAAAATGCCATGAAAACGTGCAATTTTCAGAACACCAGGTAATGCAATATTCTAAAAATAAAATATTGAAAATGGAACTACCTTTTTTTGCTACCATTAATTTGATAATACAATGTAATATTTCAAGATACCTAATGTTGTTATGACCATGATACATGTCATTTCTTCAGTCTCTATGAAGGGAGAAATGGGTGTATGATGGTATGGGACAGAACATTTTTACCATGATGTGACAATGAAAATGAGTAGCTTTTTCTAGTCCTAGATATGTGACCCTAACTATGAAAAAAAGTCTGATTTTATCCAGTCTTAAATGTGTCCTTTTAACTGTGAAAATGAGTCTAGCTTAATCCAGTCTTACACCTGTGCATTTGTCCTTCAGTGTGAAATTGAGTCTAGCTTTATCCAGTCTTACACCTGTACATGTGTCATTAAGTGTGAAAATGAGTCTAGTTTTATCCAGTCTTAAGGTTTCTTAAGAAATATTTGTGTGTTTAAGAAGTGTTTTCATTCCTGTCCATGAATTTATAAGTCGTGTTAAACGCATGTCTTCAAAGATCATAAATATTGCTTTTCTCATTGCAGAAAAATCCAACATATTTGAAAACTGTTCTGTCTGGCACTGATGAAATGATGCCGAGGGTACTTTTGTATTTACTTAATAAGGTAAGGCACTAGAGTAGAGACAATTAGACTGCTCTACATTTTTGTGGTGTCTGTGATGAAAATTTTTGGAATTCACTAGTTATATTCTAGCACCTCAGACAGAGATACCCCGTGATATATTTTTCTAACTTGTCGGAGCTGTCTGGTACCTTTACGTGACATTTCGCTGAAATTTTACACAGTGCTGTATTCATCCGCTTGTAAAGGACTCGAAATTGACAATCTGCATTTTAAATACTTTATTTTGTCGTTGTATGTATTGTTTTCATGGTGTTAGATAAAATATAATCTCCACTGAGAAATACGTTGTCTTCGTTGTAAGGACAAACAGCATTTTAAGCACAAACATTCAAACATAGCTTAGTGGTTCAGGCAATATATATTTGAGGCCCCAGATGGGATACATGACAGTTGGGATTATGTTACAGAATCTTAGTCTTGGATTTAGATAATCCAATCTCCGTCAGTTACAGGTAATAGACTTTATGTTAGTTTTCAGGTCACCTGAGCTTTAGCTCAAGTGACCTAGCTATTGCTATCCGTCTTCGTCGGTCGTCGTCCATTGTGCATCGTACGTTAACATTTTACATTTCAACTTATGCTGAAATACTGTCAACGGGATTTCTTTTATTTTTCCTGGGAATGTTACTGACATCACCCTGACAAAGAAATCCAATATGGCCACCAATGCCACCATTTTCAAAAACTATTTACTAGGTCAAGGTTACCGTTACTATTTATAGAAAATTGTCAAACAGTGAGATATATTTTCTGTGGCAAATGGCATTCATCTGTTACACACTTCTCTAGTTTTACTTAAACTACGTAGTGATAATTGACTGGTGAAATACATTTTTTTGTTGACAAATAATATACTTTTCTCCTTTGACGTCATTATTTAAACAACAACAACAAAATACTGTAGAACTCGGGTGACGGTTAAGGCCCATGTGCCTCTGGTCTGTGTAATTTGTCACAAGAACATGAAAAGGAATTATAGCCATCCTGTCCTGCTGTGCTAGGTGTTTCAGTGTTTGACACCCTTTCCTGTGTTTATTTGTAGCCAGAGGTGATTGATGCCCTCCTAGATTTGGTGGTGGAGTCTAAAGATGCAGATGCTGTGATGCACTTTAAAAACAAGCTCTGTACAGCATTGCAGAACCCCAGTGAGTTGATTTACTGAAAGGTAGCTTCAGGTTATGATATGGTCATAGCTCAGAGTGTTACATGTACACATACATGAAACAAAAAGGGATGGTTAATTAACTCATTCACCCTTGAAGGCATATTTGAACTCTTTCAATTTAAAGATTGGAATAGTTTATTATGAAATTTCAGGGGTGAATGAGGTAACTTGAAAATTTCATCTCACTCTGAATCATAACAGTTTGAGCTTCTGGTATATAATGATAAATATGTCATTCATTTCGAAACATTTTCTTCAGATTTGTAAATTATGTATGAATTGTAGAGAGGGTACGTATCACAACAAGTAGGTGTTTATGTGTGATGTCTCTCTGACTAATTCAATATGTACCCTGTTACCTTCATCAGACAAGAGATAAATATGTCAGTTTAAAGTTGGTCCTGGTGCCAAACACCAGGCAAAAGTGACAAGTTAATGGTCATTCCATAGTGTTACCCAGTGGGAATTGCTTTTAAATGGTTTGCTCCCAAGTTATAAATGATATATACTTTTTATCTTGGATTTGATTTTTTACGTAAAGTTCTATATAGATCACATATATACACATACACTGCAGAGTTTAGTAAAGTTATTTATATTAATGTTTATCTCATTGTGTAACTTTTTTGTAATTAGCTCAATATCAAATAATAGTGAAGAATGTCAAAACCAGATGTTGACCTATATATCTAGATCCCAGATATTTACCGTCCCAAAAAGTTTAAGACGAAGTCAGGTACATTTATTTAAAATTAAAGGCATTGTCACACATTTATTTATTGTGGAGATTATATTTCACGTTCTTGTGTAACAGCATAGCATACTATACAAATGTATATGTACAACAGTTGTAAACACTCATGATTTCACCTATCGTATAATTCAAGAGGCTACTGGCCGGATATTTTGTATCAGATGTTATTGGTCTGACTACGACACTTGTCAAAAATAGTTCGCCGTGTAAACATCTGACATTGTTGGAGTAGATTTTACCTATAGTGTTATCAGAATACTATCAGCTTTCTGTTAGATTACTTACAGTGTGTTGGGCCATTTTCTTGTTGACTGATTTTTTTATTTTTATTTTCAGGTATCAAAACAAAACCTCAGATAGTGCGAACGTTGCTTCAATTCTCTTCACAAAACCCAAACACAAGTCTTGGGAAGTGTATGGAATCCGTTATAGTCAAATTACCGTATTTGAGGATGTTGATGAAATCAAAACTGTGATAAAAGTATGAATGGTACAAAGGCTGTCTTTGTATGTGTGGATGTGGTAACTAGTTGATATGATAACAGTATGTTCTGTCTTTGTATGTGTGTATGTTGTAACTGGTATATGTATGATATCAACATTTTGCTTTCTACACAAACAATGTACCTATTAAACGTGTCGCAATGTTTCAAGACCGACCGGTCCATTTGTCAAGCAAGAATAGCTTGACAAAGGGACGAGCTGGTCGTGAAACATTGCGACACGTTTAGCATGACAAAGGGACGAGTCAGTCTTGAAACATTACGATATGTTTAGCTTCACAAAGGGACGAGCTGGTCTTGAAACTTTGCGCCACGTTTAGCTTGACAAAGGGACAAGTAGGTCTTGAAACATTGCGCCACGTTTAGCTTGACAAAGGGACGAGTCGGTCTTGAAACATTGCGATACGTTTAATATGTACATTGGTTGCATTGTGTAGAAAGAAAAACTTTGATTTTTCATATTTCCAAACTGATGAATCTTATTGATGATAGTATATGTACGAAAAAAGTATGAGTTGTATAAAGGATGGTTTTGTATGTGTATGTTATAACTATGCTAGTAGATATGATGAAATGTCTCATAGTCTTGGTTTGATAAAGTGTTTTTTACATAATAATCATGTCTTCCTTTAGGAACAAGACTGGTCAACAGCTGCAATTGTTAAAATTCTTTCCCGTTCCGTCACATCCAGAAATTGAGATAGCAAACACATGCTATTATGTTTCATTGAACATTGTTGAAAATTGTATGTGATTTATGACATCCATATAGGCAAACAACTTGGCCTAGATTCTGACTTGCTCTTCTATTTCTGGAGACGATTCAGATATAACATCAAATTATTAAATTTAAAAAAAAAGAGTTATTGCTGTGTCTCAATTATCTTTATTTTTAGCTCACCTGGTCCAAGGACCAATGTGAGCTTATGCCATACAGTGGCATCCGTTTTCCCTCCGTGGTACGTACGTACATCAACAATTTCTGCAAACAACTTCTCCTTAACCACTGATTGGAATTTAACTAAATTCGACTTGATTGGAATTTAACCAAATTCGACTGGAAGTATCCCTAGATGGTGGGGGTTCAAAATTGTGCAAATGGCGGGGCTGACCCCCCAGGAGGCTGAGGGGCGGGGCCAAAAAGGGCAATTTGACTAATGTGCTTTAAGCGACTTCTCTGGAACCAAGCGATGGATAGCAGCTATATTTTTGTGGAAGCATTCCTAGGTGATGGGGATTAACAATTGCACAAATAGTCAGGCTTACCACCCGGGCTAAAGGGTGGGGCCAAATTAGTTTATAATTTATAAATGGTTGATATTCCAACCCTATAACCATATATACAGTTGCTGATTATATAGAAATGAATGCACATATTCTTCCAGGATGGCCTTGGGGTCTGGTTCCACCCTTGGAAATTTAGCCCCTGGGTCATAACTTTGAACCAGTTTAGATCTCAACCTTAAAACTAAATATACAACTGCTAGGCATAAAGAGACAAACACAATCATGATATTAGCATTGATCCTTGGGTCTGTTGCGCCCGTTGCAATATTTGGGATCTTTGTCTTTCTTTCTACTTCTAGCTACTTTTTATTTCCTAGGGCATTGCTTGGCAACACCTCACTTTTGGCTTGAATGTTGAGCGTTTGCCCAGGTGAGGAAGGCAATGGGTTCTGTCATCAGGCCGAAATATACCATAGTCCTTAAAAATGGTAGTTGTTATTTCCTGCTTAACGTTCAGCATTAAGGGGAATGTCAACAACTGGTTCAACCGTTGTCAGTATAATGTGACCAAGCAAAATGCTGTGATTGGTTCTTTCGGCATGGCATTTCAGTGAGAAAGCACTATAAAATCGGCATCAGATCCGCGCTATCACGAGGAGGCAAGCACACCAACATCCCTGTCTCCTGCATACACATAAGCAAGCACGCATACAATACACACATGGCGGCACGTCCATAAATTACCTTTGCTGTTACTGTAATAGGATTTTAAACAGAATTAAACCAAACCAAACCTTTGGTCTGGCCACACCCCTAGGAACCTAGTTTCTGAGTCACAACTTGGATACAGTTGATATCCCCACCCTTTAACCATATATATAATTGCTGAGTATAAAGAGACGAATGTCCATAATGGCCCCTGTGTTTGCCCCACCCTTGGAGACTTTACCCCTGGGTCATAACTTCAAAACAGTAGTGCTCCCCACACCAAATCGTTCTATACAATTGCTGGACATAAAGAGACAAATGCAGTCATATTAGAATTGACCCTGGGGTCTGGCCACAACCCTAAGGACCTAATTTCTGAGTCACAACTTGGAAACACTTAAGATCCCCATCCCATAACTATACATACAATTGTTGGACATGAACAATCTAATACAGAAAAGCTACAAGGATTGGCCTTTGGGTCTGGCTCTATCCCGGGGATCTTACATGGAGAACCTTTCCAAATTTTAGTAAGACATTAGTTACCAGATTTAGTTGTCATATATTGGTGCAATAACACCCCTAGCAGACTAACTCTCTCAGCAGTGTCCGATGGTGCAGACTTATTCATGAAAACAAAAACAAAAAAACAGAGCCACTCAATTGAGAGGGGCAGAGATTTTACTGATGAGGTATTACTATCGATATTTTTTCGAAAATTGCCTTTAGACTTCAGTTTTTAAAGGCGTCCGTGCGTTTTGTAATGGCGTAATAAACGGTTATGTATGGTATTTCGGAATAGTAAGTTTCTTATTCCCCTCGACAAGGCCTATTTTATACAGTACAGCATATCAATCTTTTTAAATATTTAACATATGACAAGGGAAAGTGATATATCAAGATGTTCAATTAAAACCGGGATGAAAAAAAACCGTGACGTCTAATGAATCGTTGCAAGATGGATCCACGCGTACGCCTCGGGGAAATAGACCTGGTCTCGGGGAGCTAGAAACTTGCTATATCCCACAAACGCCTGAAACTGTCTATCGTCACATATTGCCTTTTATACAAATTTTAATTTGTAATTATGCCGATATAACATTATGTACATTCAAAAATATGTATACATATGCCATTCTATTTATAACTGGTAGAACATATACAGTATTCACAAGCTTGTACATCTGTATGTCAAGTGTGGACACAAACGAGATAAAAAGACTCCAGCAGGTGATATGTGTACATGTTATAGTATATACGGGTAGAAACGAACCTTACGCTTGTCCTTCAAAGTCGTTATCACCAGTATCATTTGTCAGGTAGGTGCATTTATCTCCTCGACACCAGACAGGTATGTGTACTAGCCTAATCATCATGTAACGGGTGTTTGTAAATACAGTTCTAATAACCACCTTAACCAGTCCACCTCCATTATATTGTGTCTACACGTACATTGTACTTCATTATTCCTACATAAAATCACACGATTTTACTTCAAGCGCCCCAACGGTGAAGATAACCGCTTCGTTCAACATTTTTCTTACTTTTGGTTGCTTGCCCATTTACTGAAGCAAAGAATTATATGTGAAAGAAATATGTTTGTCATAAGTTTCTTTTCCACATAATACGGCTCCGGATATCCCTGGGTAACTTGGTTAAAAATTACGGATATTGGTGATGAAACATTTTGTGTTGCTGGGATTTTTTCTGCAAAATTACTGTGATGATTTCAATATGTTCTAATTTCTAAGCAACATAAACTGTCTTTATCTGAATGTAGGGAAATACACATTCATTTGACAGAATAAAATAGTCTATTGCCTGTAAAGTTAAGTGTAGGTGTTTCCTACCTGAACACTGCGTTAAGCAACCTAAATGTTATCAACATAGTGTTACAAAGGGGTATTCTTAAAACCCAATGTCTTTAAGTTTACATGTAACACATGCACTTTAAAAAAAAAAGTTATTTGCAAAATGTGTATGTGTTTCTGCAAGTTGAATGGACAATAACTAGAAAAAACCATGTTTAACTCATTAAATGCTGTAGATTTAGTTTCGTTTCAAATACTATTTTAGCCAGTTTTAATATGTATAAGTCAATTTTAAGCTAATCGGCTCTCATCCTCTGCACACGAGAACGCTCAAATCACTGAACCGTAAACATGATTTCCTAACATCTATAAATGTATTGATAACCACGAATTGCCTATATTGAGGATATCGATTAGTGATAAATCATTTATGATATATAAATCCAACAAAGTGGGTTTATTATCAAGTAAATAATATAGTCTCGTGGACTAGGTTATACGCACGTATATAGCGGAATAACCTCGCAATATATCTCTATACTAAACGCATGTTTTGACCTCTCCCGATGTCGGTGAAGGTTGATGTTAGACACGACGTCACAATTCTGGGTTATTGTGTGTGATAACACCGATCAAAGTTAGTGGATACAATGTTCACTTCAACATACCTGTGCAACAGGGGGGTACACATTCACAGCTAGACAGGATTTGAACCCGGTATCCTCCAACTCTAGACGGCCGGTCAAACCAACTGAACTGCCTGGTCGTTGGCATTTGACCAAGTCCACTTCTGATACAATTCTCCATACTTTAACGAAGTCTTAGATCCCAGAAACACACTATACCCTTATCCACCTTCCGTGGGTACATTTCGTTCGGTACCAAATGTAACAAGAGAGGAAATATGCACGGCCAGACAGGGATTCGAAACCAGAACTCTCCGAACTCTTAGACAGATTCTCTATCAAAGTGGGGGTGGTTTTTTTCCCATCCGGCCTGCTCAAAGACATATTTAGCATTGATAAGAGGGCAATGTTCGATCTCATCAGTTCCATCTCTAGTGAGAGAAAAAAATGTATACAGCAAGGTACCAGCTAAAGTTTGTATGTTTCATTTATCCTGAGCTGAAAATTGACATGATTTCAATGTAAGTGATAACAGTTTGAACGATGTCCTCTTGCATGTATCAGGATGACGTGCTCCCAAGTGGCGATACTATGCACAGTTGTGTGCTGCGCATTGGCGTTCAAAGCAGCCGTGTACGAACATGATGTCATCTTCCCACCACAAAGATCACGTGTTTTGTCACGTGATTCAGCACTCCAAGTGATGGAAAAGAACCTTGATGTTTACAAGGACCAATGCGCACAGGCAGTTAAGCAGGTAATCTGCACACCATACTAACTCATTTTTTTCCTTTTAAATTAGAGACCTTTTTCATGTATGTATATTATATCAATTTAGACAAGAAAGGTCTTGGTTACTTCTAATGATTTGTATATATTAAAATGTATCCATACATAGAAACGTTATGGCCATGGTACATGGTTACTGCTCGTTGGTATGGAATTTTAAAGTGAAACTAATACATTGTAAGTCTGTTTCAAAAATGACAATAATGCTCAAGTTATCGAAGACAGCAGGACTGAACCTTGACGGAAGTTGTTTAAAAATGAACTGATAATGAAATATCAAGTTATTTCTGATATTAGTGAATTACTAAATGAGTCAATACATGAATCTAGCAAACCTAAACTTTTGGAGGTGTTTCCTATCCCGTTGCTGTGTTGATACATGTATCGCTAACTCTGCAGCTTCTTACACGTGCATGTATGCATTGGTCAAATGGAGATTAAGCTACAGCTTTTTCAGTAATATATTAATGATTCATACTAATTACAGAAAGCCCAGATCATCGTATTTCCCGAGTATGGCCTATACGGACTCGGGTGGACACGACAGACTCTCGTCCCGTACCTGGAGTTTATACCAGACCCCCATACGGTATCCTGGATCCCATGCGATGACCCAGCCCGGTACAACAACACTGAAGTACAATATCAGCTCAGTTGTATGGCCAAGAACAGCTCCATATATCTAGTGGTCAATTTTGGGGCACGACAACCCTGCAGCGCCACAGTGCCCAACTGTCCATCTGACGGATACTTTCAATTTAGTACAAATCTAGTCTACGATTCCCAAGGTAAATTTGTTGCAAGATATTTCAAGCAGAATCTTAACTCCGACGAAATTTACTTCAACAGACCTGCCATAACAAACTACACTGTGTTCACCACACCATTTGGACGTTTTGCTACGTTTTCCTCCTACGATATAATGTTCAAAGACCCGGCCATAACGCTGATAAAGTCAATGAACATAACTAACATAGTCTACCCGGTAGCTTGGAAGAACGAACTGCCTCTCCTGGCTGCTATTGAGATTCATTCTGCATTTTCAGAAGGTATGCACGTAAACCTGATGGCGGCAAACTTGCATGTGCTTTCTAAGGGTTACCAGGGGAGTGGAATCTATTGGCCCTCGGGTACTTCTAACAATGAAATTTACTATAACAATATGAAACCAGGCAGTGGTGGAAAACTGCTGGTGCAAGAGCTAAGTGCACTGGATACCGTTGTTGAAACCAAGACAACCAGGAAAGCAAAGAAACAAAGCACGCGACTCAAGACCGGTACTGGAGATGCTCAAACTCGGGGCAATGAATTTAAAGCCATGATGAACCACGATTTGTTCACATTTGTGCCTTTGAGAACGGGATACGGGCATTATAAAGTCTGCCAGAATACGTTATGTTGCGAGACCGCTTATGAAGGAATGTTCCAAAATGCATTGTATGCTTTAGGTGCGTTCGATGGAATACATACATACAATGGTAAATATCCCTTGCAGGCATGCACCTTTGTGCCCTGTGTCAATGGATCTATCTCAAGCTGTGGTCAGCCCTCCATCAAGTCCATTGGTTACATGGACAAGATGTCATTCTTTGGAAACTTTTCCTCCACTCGGTACGTGTTACCGGAAGTGTTGGTAACCCTTGACAACTCTACATTGGACATTGTTGCGCGCACCTGGCTTTACCAGGAATCAATTATCATTGACGTAGGCGTACCAGGATCACCCGTGTCTATTTCAATGTACGCGATCGGCGGTCCGTAAACTATGCTAATTAATCACACAATAAAAAGAACGTTTCTTCAACTCACCATTTCACATTCAAATTTAGGTTAAGAATAAACGACAAAGAAGTAAAACTGTATTTGTCCCATAGGGTTTATTATTATTGTCTGTTTTTTTTTTAGGTCACCTGAGATTTAGGAATAATCGAATCATGGTCCTGACAAAGTGTTGTTATTTTTTGGGTCAATCAGAAATACAATTTGGCTGCCATGGCCGCTATTTTGCTACTAAGTTCTAATAGGCCGATCTCACTTAAAATTGGTCTAGGAATGATCAGCTCATGGTCCTGACAAAGTTAGGTTAACATTATACTATTTTTTACTCAAATTGGTACATATTTCAACAACAAAAATAAATACTGTAGACTCGGGTGACCGTTTAGGCCCATGGGCCTCTTGTTTGTAGAGTTATACACTGCCTAAACAATTTTCAAAAATAGTGTATGGATTGTTTAAAAATATTCACTTTGAAACCCAGGCTGCTACAAACGATACGTGTGAAACCTACTTACATGTACAAACAAGTGACGTAACAATCAATACCTGCTCCCAAGAGAAGATAACTCTGCAATACGCAAAGACGGAATAATGAGGCAAGCTTGTGAAACTACAAAAGCTTGTCTCATCATAACAAGTCGACGTTATTCGAAAATGTTGGAAAAGCAACTCAGGCCGCAAGCGTTAGTTATTTTCCCGACATTTCTTATCCTCATTCTTACACGCACATACGCTGATTATTTCTCAAGTAGATCCATTGATTCATTTTTATGTAGAATGGAAATTATAAATCTGTGGTGATTCTTTAAGGGAAAAAAGGCATAAACAGTTATTTTAAACGAAGTGGACACAAAACAGTAAAAGTGATGTTGATGTAGAGAATTTATCACCGGGAATGTAAAATTACGCTCAGTGCTCGTGAGTCAGATGTAATATATGTTTAAGACCATGTTTAAATAAATAGGCTGTAAAAATCCTTTTCATTTATGCAATGTGATGTTGTTAAATGTATATTTGAAAGTTATGATAACTTCAAACTTAAGGCATTGTGTATGATTGATATATTCTGCGTATGTTAAAAATGCGCGCATAACCTACAGCAAGATATCACTAGGTCAGCCTGAACCACAATAAGCCCTTTCATTGTAAAATATAAACGTAATGCAATAACGTAGTGGAGTGTCACAAAATGTATCTATTCTATGCAAACATAAATACAGGTAAAGCGTAGGTTCCATATACCGGTATATGTCATATCTTCAATTTACATGTGTAGAATATAATTAACTTTAAATTAAAGAGATTGCTGATGATTGATATACATATATATGTATTCTGAATATCTTAAAATTGCGCGTACTACTTACAACTAGGTACCACTAGATCAATATCAACTACGAGTATCCAAATGTGTGATATAATAAAATTAATTAATGCAAAACCTAAGTAGTTTGTTATAAGGTTTAAAAAATCACAAATATAGACGCATTTATGAATTAAGGTATATATTATAGTGATATTACAAATTCAAATTGATGACATCAAATTGAGATACATTGTCACTTAAATGGAATAAAATATATTTATAACGGGGTTCCCATACATGTACGCCTTAGCCTTTTTAACACCAGAATTAAGCGTCAAGAGCAATCTGACATTTTGCATCTTGCTCTAGTATGCTTCCTCCTTATACAGCCCATGAAATAATTGTTAAACATGTGTGAAGCTCAATCACAGAACCTTGTCGTACGGTTTCCATCAACTTGTAGAAATCCCATCCTCGATATCCAGGAGTTACGCTCACATCCTCGATATCCATGGGTTACGTTCACATCCTCGATATCCAGGGGTTACACTCACATCCTCGATATCCAGAAGGTACGCTCACATCCTCGATATCCAGGGGTTACGCTCACATCCTCGATATCCAAGAGTTACACTCACATCCTCGATATCCAGAAGTTACGCTCACATCCTCGATATCCAAGGGTTACGCTCACATCCTCGATATCCAGGGGTTACGCTCACATCCTCGGTATCCAGGAGTTACGCTCACATCATCGACATCCAAGAGTTACACTCACATCCTCGATATCCAGAGGTTACGCTCACATCCTCGATATCCAGGGGTTACGCTCAATTTCGCTCTCTGCAGTCCCGGAATCATCCTCGATATCGGGGATTACGCTCACCTTCGCTCTCTACACCCCTGGAATCATCCTCGATATCAAGGGTTTACGCTTACTTTCGCTCTATGCACCCCTGGAATCTTCCTCGATATCCAGGTGTTACGCTCACCTTCGCTCTCTGCACCCCTGGAATCATCCTCGATATCTAGGGGTAACACTCACTTTCGCTCTCGGCACCCCTGGAATCATCCTCGATATCGAGGGGATACGCTCACTTTCGCTCTATGCACCCCTGGAATAATCCTCGATATCCAGGGGTTACGCTTACTTTCGCTCTCTGCAGCCCTGGAGTCATCCTCGATATCTAGGGGTTAACAATCACTTTCGCTCTCTGCACACTTGGAATCATCCTCGATATCCAGGAGTGCAGAGAGCGAAAGTGAGCGTAACCCCTGGAATCATCCTCGATATCCAGGGGTTATGCTCACTTACGCCGTGCAGAGAGCGAAAGTGAGCGTAACCCCTGGATGCCCTGGAATATGTCAACTGTTTGATTGGTCTCAGGAATTTTTTTTACTGACCAATCGCTGGCTGATACCTGTCATTTGATGATTACAAAGGAGAGACGTCCAACTTCAAAGACTGTCAATGTTTAACGTTACGTGACCGCGATATTCTTTTGATGTACAACAAAGGATCGAACTAGCCTTCTTGTCTCATTGACAAGGTGGCGCACACCGAGCCTTCAATTTTGCTATGACATATTCCAGGGGTGTAGAGAACGTAAGTGAGCATAACCCCTGGATATCGAGGATGTAAAAATCCAAGCGTCGGAAACGACTTTCGGTGTAATGAGCTTTACCTTTTGTACATATATAGCACCCGTTAAATCCAGACTAGTATGCGGGGTTACGTACCAATGGTCTAAGAGTCGGTAACCACAGACGCTAGAATATCAGAAACAAATACATAGCTACCAATGGAATAATCTCCGATCAACTTTATGTGATTCTCTATGTATTCAGTTTACTTATGTGTGAATTTTTCTCGATCTCTTTCAGTATATATTTACATATCGATAAGTTCATGTGATTTTACGACATGTTAGTATACAGTGTGTGCGTGTGTTCAGTCTGTAAACATGTTGGTTTAATAATGTTCATGGTATATCTAGCGAATTTTGTATCGGTTCTGGTTTGCTTTTACGAAATCTAGCATTTTTCTTTGCATTGATTGTGCTTTTCATGACATCTATGCTTATTATGTTTTTGGCATGTTATATTCAAGAAACATTGTTTTGACTAAGAGAGTATACACGATCTATACAGGGTGTGGCGTTGCTCTACTGGTACAGAAGTCATTTACATTATACTATAATTTGTAAGAATATCGATTATAATTACACATTTCTTGGACAATAATGACAAGAATATTGTAAAATATTATATCATTATATACCTCTATTACAACCATTTTATTGACAGGTTGATGAACGTCTCATACAGTTGATTTACTTACGTATGTATAACGCACTGTTTGTGATCAATCATACGCCATAATTAGAGGAAGTCAGTTAAACAATTGATTGATTCACTACGAATAATCGAAGTTAATTGTTAAACAAACCACAGGGTTCGAAGAGGCCTCATCACAACCATTTTTAACTCATTCACCCCTTAAATTTCATAATGAACTATTCCATCCTTAGAATGGGAAGAGTTCATATGTGTCTTCAGGGGTGAACGAGTTAAGCTAATTACTCTAAATACACTTTTTATAGTTGAATGGCCTTGTCGATTAATAAAATGCCGACAGGTGAAACGTGTTGTTACATTCCAAAGCAGTTCAGGCATATCTTGTGATTAGGACTGAATATATGAGTTAGATGGTTGATATATTTTTATTATGATTGATCTGGCTGATTTAATTGGCTAGATCATGATCAGGGGATGGGGGAACCAGGTTCAGACTTAGGACGATGTATGTCAGAGCAATGACGAATAACTGATGTCGAACAGGATTGATTTGATAGCTTTAACATTTGAGAAAAAGTACGACTCCGGACAAAGTATTACATAGCATGTTTAACTGTCACCGTTTAAATAATAACTACACAGGCTATATATATTTTATTTTCAATTACATGGTATTCCACTTCTGTTCATCTGTTTCTTTGTTTTCATCAAATATTAGGTAAACATCAGCAGGTGTTATGAATAGGTAACGTTCATGTCAAACAGGGCTTTATCCTGTAACAATTATGTATAACTTGTATCTACACGGGTTGTATTATACAGTTAAAGTATGGGGTATATCCCTCAACCCCATACTTTAACCGTTTTATTATACCGATATACACTGCAGAGATAGTTTTAACTTGAAAATATTTGAAAACCATAAGCTGTATAGCTTCACGTCCCAACTACCCCTTTGATGGCAATGGAGCCAAATGCTTCCGAGTTCGGTAGCAAGCTCCGCCCACCTCTCGCCTGATTGGCTCGGCGGAAACACCCGAGTGTAGGTGTGTTTTAGTTCCCAGACTAACACACAGGACTAAAACACAGTCAGGCAAAAGTGGGGATATATTCGATTTAACCAATTACTTGTATATAGAGTAAATAAAGTAGAGGTATAATAAATCAAGTTAAGTATTAAATTGACATAACTTGCACATACCTTTCTTAAATATACATTGTATATCAGCCAAAAAAACTAAAACATTGGTGCTTTAATTAGTTTTAAAAGTACGTGGAATTTATTTTAACACACGTTTCCCACATATAATGCTGTATCAACAAGAAAGTCTACTTAGCGTGGACAATTAGCATTTTACGTAGAATTCGACGGAACCTATTGATTCTTTCTTTCAAAATCAGATTCAAATCTGATAATAAGTTAAATTTCAAGGATACTTTAATTGATCTAATCACGATCATTTTGAAGTCAAACATTTGCTGTTTACATAAGACGTAAAGAGTGACATTTGACCTTTCATTATATACTTTACTCGTCAGCGACACATATCATTAGTGTGTCAATTTTGCCTCTTGGCGGGAACTACTTGACTGTTTGTATCAGTTTGAAGGACCACACAGGTTCGATGACCTTCTTCACTATAACATAGTTTTATAAGTTGATGACATGTTTTAATCGAAATCGTTTACATATTAAGTATTTACACGCAGTAATTATGGAGCCCTGTAGAAAGGAAATAATATGACAGGATAATTGTTTGTGATTTACGAGGTTAATGCGGTCATCGGATCTTGCGTCATATGGAAACATGCATTAGCGTTCAATTGCGAATTTAGTTGATCATTGAAACCCTTACCATATCTCTAAGAAATAACAGCCTTGTTATTAACATATTTGATAGAGTTATTGGATGACATTTGTTTGCTCATTTACTGCCGATATATTCTTTGTCGTGCTCAATGCGTTATCAAACTCATGGATTTCACTCAGTACATGACAGTCGGTGTGAGAGTGTGCCACGTCTAGCCTTTATTTGATAGGCAAACGTGTTATCTGGTATGTTCATTACTGTATAAAACATAGATACACTGTATATTGGAGGTTAATGAATATTTGCTACTTTTTGATCTCCGACATGGATGTTACATGTAGGATAGGGAAATCAATGAAAATTGATATCAACACATTTGCTACTTTCTTTAAAAATCAGTAAAACTGCTTAAAGAAATAGAAAGAAAAGCAAAGTTGTGTATAAACAATTGTTTTAATCGTTTATATACATAGTAGATTATTGATTTCTGAATAATTATCATAATTCAAATGCGTTATACATTAAGGTACATAATGTACAATATAACAATTCGTTAGGCTCACATAACTGAAACCATTACTCAATGCAGTTGTATTGTTTTATACATTACTCTATTCTTGTTAAATCTAATATTCCAACTCTTATTTATTGTGTACAAGATACTCATTCGGGTGATCCAGGTCACAGAGGACTACAGACAAGTTTAATGGTCGCAATCATGACCTAATTAGGAAATATTGTATTCCGTGTGCGATATGTGAAGGCCGATGTGCTTTATTTGGTTAGAAGTGTTGCTTGTGTATTCGGCGTCATTACCCCAATTCTCACATTGGGGATGTGACATTTACTTGACCTACATTTACATGGGGGTGTCGTTGATGAAGCAAATAACGTTTACCCTTCACCTGGTCCTATTCCTCCTGAACTTTTTAAAGAGTTTCATTTTGAATATATCCTTCGTTTAAATCATGCCCTGCATTTGTTTCCGAAATATGTTTTATACATGTTCATACAATTGTATAACGGTATACGCTTTTCCTTTATAATGAATGTGATATTTATATAATACAATTGTATAACGGTAAACGCTTTTCCTTCATAATGAATTTGATACAAATGTACATGTCATATTTTGTGTAGAGTCGTGACGAATTTTAACATGATTCCTTGAGTAATAAATGCTATTGTCTATTCTGTAACAGTGATACATTTGTCTATCTTGGCCATAAATTTTGATATTATTATCATAAATAAAGTTATTTTTAAACTGAAAACAAAATATTAAGTCCGGGGATTCATAATGATCGTCCTTAGATTATAAACACAACCTTTCTTAATTTCATCTGATGTTTAATAATATTTTCATTTAAAAATATGCCTTACGTACATTTGCATCAATGATTCTGATCATTAAGATTTATGGTTTTTATACACGTGTTCGTTCCATTATGACGCATACTCCGCAATTAGTTTTCTGACGCCGATACACAATGACATGTATTTCCTTGATTGTATCAGACAATCTAGATGCTTCGTTAAATACATGTAATAAAGTTTTACCCTATTTGATGGTGTTTCCCAACGGGAAATAGCGTTGACGTATTATTAAAATATTATGCAGATCCATTTACGATTTTTTAAAATGTTTTCCTACCAAGCCATAATCGTTTTGAATCACATTGTAAGAGAATAGCGTATACAAATGTAAATTTCACTTCCTTGTTTGAAATAGAGTATATATATAGTCAGATTGATAATACCTTTTAAACTATGTAATATATTTATAGCATTCATGTGATTCATACATTGTATGACTTTGTGATGAAACTGTTTCGTTAACAAACGAACTTGACATTTAGTGTGTCTGTAGAAAGTAGACAGAGATGAATGAAATGATTTCATGAACAAAATTTAATATTGTTTTTAAGTATAATTGATAACGGAAATACATTGTACAATATGTTGTGTTGTGTCCCGTATCGAGTAAATTTACGAAATCGGTAGCATTATTTATATATTTATTTTTGTAATACAGTGTCAAATATATGCACTACTTGTATTACAATTCGTAGTTATAAAATGTCAATTGTATTACATGTACGTAAAACATGGTTATCTAATATGTATTGGGCAATAATGTACCATACGTACATGTATATTGAGAAATACGACATACCTGTGCGTGCAATACGGTAAAAATGTTGATGCATAGTAATCAAAATTCGAACTCCAACTTGATAAAACTTTAGCGAAATGTGAACGAAAAGGATACATGTATACCAGGATCCTTTCATCGATTCAAGGATAATTACAAAAATGTAGACCAAGCGTCCTCTGCTCCATTGAAGACATCCGTTTGTCAAATCATGTTATTGACACATCCTTAAAGTGTAAAACGGGGAAGTGACAACGAAACGACAACCACACTTAGGGTATACCAAAAAAAAAACGCCTTTTTTTCATATCCAAACATTAATTCTTAATAATTGATAAAGTAACCTTACAGAAGTTAAACTGAAATAATTGATATATTTGATCTTTATAATACATGTATGATAATTTTTTATTATAACTTGAAAATGTACTCATTGCTTGGAAAATCTTGTGAATAATGTTATTTTATGTATATTTTGTACATATGTATGGAAGTAGGGAATCGATATGTATAGGTTCACTATACCATTGGTAAGTTTGAAAGGATATTAGTTTTGGCGATATAACACCGCCCGTATCAATTATATGTCACACCAAAGCACCAGTCTGTCCATCACCAATATAATGACGTCTGCCCGATGGAATTGTAAGCTATAAGGATATAAGCCTGATTATTATGCAATGACGCAGCCTTAAAAACGTTAATAATTAAAACGCAAAATTATATACAAACCATGTAATAGGCAGCCGTTGTACAGAGTTCGTGAGTAATTAGGGAAAGAAATGTATTATTTTACTTTTCAAAAATGATATTAATGTACGTTTCAATACTTTCTACTACTTACTTATACAGTTGGATAATAAAACGAATTATCACATTACGTACAACCAATGGAGGTAGTTAAGACTAGCCATAATCTTTTGACTCTTTCAGCCTGAGGCGTCTTGCCGCTGTACGTCTTGACATGCGAGCTGTCACTTACGTTTCTCAGCGTGTCATATAGCTATCTCACCACTGTACTGCTACCTCACTTGTTTCCAGTTCGTTTACGGTGCAGGTCGTGTTTTGTTTACTCCAGAGCCGGGGCGTTGGTCCATTCCAGTTATGAATTACGTCACATAGGCGGTTGCTCCGGCTGGGAGAGAGCAAGAAAGGCTTTGACAATACCGATCTACGTATATACAATATAGAGAAAGTAAACGAGCTACCGTTCGACATGTCTTTGTTTCGCAATGCAGTGACATGCTTTATATTGTTTTCAACGTTAATGAATGCAGTTATATCGTTGAATCCTCAGACGTGTCGTGAATGTGTATCACGTAACACCTGCCATCCGCCAGCGTGCTCTTGCTGCAATGACAACATGCCGATATTGTCCAGGAATAATACTCCACAAATGGTGTTCTTTACATTTGACGACGCTATCACCCCAACGGTAGCGAATTTCTACAGGGAACTTTTCGATTCAAACAGAACAAATCCAAACGGATGCCCGATTAAAATGACACTTTTTGTTTCGCATGCAAATACGGTTTACAGTTTAGTCAGAGAGTTTTACAGGAAAGGGATGGAGATTGGTGCACACAGTGTCTCTCACGGTCACATGAATGAACGGACATTTAAATCAGAGGCAAAGTTACAAAAGGAAAATATAGCTAGAATGGCGGGTGTACCGATGTCGGAAATTAAAGGATGGCGCAGTCCATTTTTGGAGCCTGTCGGAGACACACAGCCAAAATCTCTCAATGAACTTGATTACACGTACGATGCTACGCTAACAATAACCAAAAAGGGACTGAAGAAACCTCCAATACCGTTTACATTGGACTATGGATGGCCGTATGACTGTAAAATCAAACCTTGCCCTATGTCCGCTCACAACGGATTCTGGGAAGTTCCTGTGATTTCCGTTATGGACCACTTAGAACGGTTCGACTGTGTTTATGTCGATGGATGCCATACACCTCCCCCGAATGAGGAAACTGCTTTTAAATTTCTTTGGAATAATTTTAATACATATTACAGTGGCAACAGGGCACCGTTTGGTATGAATATGCACGCTTCATGGTTTTATTATCCTGATCGGCTACGAGCAATGGACAGGTTCATTAAGGTCCTTAGCAACCTACCTGATGTATATCTGGTATCTGTGAGTCAGGTTATTGATTGGCTTAAAACGCCAACAGCATTATCCGATATACATCACTTTAAACCTTGGGGATGTAAAAACCCTAAAAAAACATCACATCACCACAGACGATTCCACGCAGAACCGCCCCGTGTCAAAACTTCGCACGGAGCCAGCAGGGCCAATTCGCTACATCAACATATTGAACAACAGCGAAGACTGCGAGTGCAACAGGCTAAAGTCAACTTTATGCAGCGACAACAGCAGAGAAAAAAGGCACAGCAGACACTTTTACAACAACGTGGAATACAGAATCTGCAGCACGGAGGGACTCAACAATCAAACACAGTGCAGAAGAAGAAAAACAAAGTGCCTATTGCTAGTGGTACTCTAGGGTATCAGCAGTACATGTGGTTACAGAGACAAAGGGCTAGACCTAGGATGAATGCAAGAAAACAGAGTTCCCTTGCCAGTGCAAGGAGATCACGAATTTCATGGCAACAAGCATTAAGACATCAGGTCATGCATCATGTGCAACAAAGTGTACCGTCGACGACGCCAAGTGCGTTGTTGGGTGCTTTAATAAACCGAAAACCCACCAAACCTTCTAAGGAAGTACTTTTAAGGAAAAGGCAAAGGGAACAACTTGAGAAACAAAAGAGACTTTTAAAGGAACGTCAGGAGGCCGAACAAAAGGTTATAGCAGAAGAAACACGTATTGCCGTGAAGAAGCGGAAAGATGCACTAATTCATGCAGAGAAAGAAAAACTGTTGAAATCGAAAGTCAGACGTCCTAACAAAAGCATTGGCATGACAACAGCGACACCTGTTCTACAAAATATGGTTCACACTAAGAAAGAGCTAAGGGAACTTTTGAGATTCGCTGAGAGTAAACTCGTTCAATCTCGTCTTCTGTTTGGCGTGGGAAAACAGCCGGGGTTACAAGAACAGAAACAAACGATTAGGCCTCTGTCTGAATTAAAATCACACATTACAAGTGAAAAACAACAGGAGATAGTCACATCCACAGCAACACCAATAAAAGTAAAAGCATCCAAGGTTTCAAAACTTGCCAGACACAACGAATTTCCAACTGCGAAACAGGACATAAATTCACACAATTTCCTTTTGGATAGTTTTAAAGATGTTGTTGGCAATAATAAAGAACTATGGACATGGGCGATACCTAAAAAACGACAAAGTAAGAAAGTTATAAAATTGCAGTCAACACTACCGCCTATCAAGGTTGCAACGACAGGTGGGTTTATCGATTTCAACCCGACCACCGTATATTCGTCACCTCGCACTTCATCACCTGAAGTGAAGTCCGTTAAAGGATCATCTACGAAAGAACAAACTACGGTACAACCTATTTTCAAAGTCACATCTTTGAAATATTCTTTTCCAGAAGAAGCCACTCTTATTGAACCTAACAGGGGTTTAGACCGGTCAATTGCACCATTGTCAATGGGTCCTAAACATACAGATATGCCGCCTGTTCTTTCAAGGGAGACATGCAAGCAAGGAGTTACGTGTAGTTTGCCAGAATGCAAATGTTTGTCTTCTACTATTCCTGGTGGTCTTAAGCCGACCGAAATTCCACAAATAATATATATTACCGTCGATGGAGATATCAACTTTTCGGGTTTTACCAAAATGCGTTCAATGTTTTCTCGTAAACGAAAGAATCCCAATGGATGCCCTATTGGAGGAACAATGTTTGTGTCACCAATTCGCTCAAGCGTTCGCCTTGTAGACCGTATACATAAGGATAATGTCGAAATTGCTGTACAAGGCAGTAAACCCCGGGAACAACCAAGTGGAAGCATTTTTTCCTCTGACATTGACGAATATAGATCGAAATTATCGAAATCTACTACATTATTGCCAAACCAAATCACAGGATATAGAGGTCTAGACTTCCAACCGCCAACTGACAACGAAATGCTTGTGTTACATAATAAATCAATGTACGATTCGTCAATGATAACTAAGGCAAAAGTGTGGCCATTCACCCTCGACTACGGATGGAAAGGAACATGTAAAAACGTGGCATGCCCTATGGATACTTACGCTGGAGTTTGGGAGGTACCCATAATTCCACTTATAAACAGTAAAGCAAAGGAAAGTTGTAACTATGCGGATGGGTGTAAAAGTCAACCCAACACAAAAGAAGATACCTCGAAGTTTTTACAGGAAAATTTTAACCGACATTATAAATCAACACGATCTCCTTTTGGAATACATCTCAGTCAAAAATGGTTCCATTGGTACTACAATCATAATTTGTCCGGGCTTAACAACTTCTTAAATCACGTGCTCTTATTGCCAGATGTGTATATTGTGTCAATATCTGACATGATTGGTTGGGTTAAGCAACCTACGGCTCTTAAACATCTAAAGGAATTCCAACCATGGCGATGTTGATAACACAGAGTGATAGCTGTTATATGACCTTATCTGATTAATAACATTGATGCTTCATCTGATACCAGCCGGGATATAGGAGCGCATAGCAAAGTCAGACACGGAACAGAGAAATCAAGATATTTCCGATTATTTCATAATAAACGAAATATAAGTATCAAGCAATGCTGTTTGCTGTGAAGTGTTCGCCAAAAACTAATGAAGCAGATCGATTTTATCGTGGACACAAGGTTAGCAAAACAAATACATGAACTCAACTGTATTCGTTGTTGGACCAGAAAACCGGTGATATATAGACTTGACACATTGAATCCTCCATTCTATATGATAATTTGCCCAAAACAATATGTCTTTCGTAATGTGACTCACAGTCTGGGCATAAGACATGGCCGTCGGGCTTTATCAGCACCTGTGTAGATAGTCCAATCTATCACCAACACCTTGGACGATAAATGTATCGACATGACATCTTAACGGTGACGTTAATGACCGCCATGTCCTGCTTATTAGGCAAAGGTCAAGCGTTTATCAGGATATGTCTGACCGTATGAAGTTTACATCTATACTATGGTCTTTGATTTCTTTGATTAGTCATTTTAAAAGTTAAAGTAACATAGAGTCATGCTTCCTGAGAAAGTATGTAATTTCTAAATTCATCTAAATTCATTTTTATTTTACAAATATTTTTTTTGTTCAATATATGCCTGTGTATTTGAATGTGATGTACTTTAATCTCAAGAAAACAACTGTTTTTTTTACCTCTTCGGTATATATAAAGTACATTCTGAATGTGTACTGTTTTATTATATACATGCTAGTTCTATCTTTAGTTTACTTTATTGCATTGTCCTTTTCACCTATTAAGAAAGTTAAGATAATAACGTCGCTGACTAACTTCCAATGCATATCATCTAACTTTACGACATATCAAATGGTAATCTTATTAGCAGCAGTGCTGCTACAAATTAATGGAGTTTAATTAATTAATCTGTAATGTCTTCATAGTTTGGTAAATCATAAGGGTGATGGAATTTGACGCGGTGGATATATATTTTTTCTTCTGATTAGCATAAATGATAGAACACATCGATCATCATGCTAGTTATTTATTAAAATTTTGTTTGCTGTGAAAACGTGATTCTAAAACACATTTTCGTACCTCAAGATAATCTATAATTAAGTTTAAAGATCATAAAAGATATAAGTTTAACTATAGACAAATGTTTAAACAATCTATGTTAATCATATCTGACTAGACAATCTGTCGTTCTTGTCACTAATGGTAATACTCAACTAATGCGGTAACATTTACGGTGATATACATAATTACGGTCATAAGGAAATTTGTCGACATTAGCAATTATCACGTTATTGTGTCGAGGAAAAACCATTGTTGCCATATCTTCGACTTGATTGTAGTTCTTTTTTGCATGTAATAATCACAATTATTCTGTTTTTATTTATAAGCACATTTGTTTTGTTCAAATGGTTTATGAATATCTTATTAGCACAATTTTGAAACTTTACTCGTTTTAAATTTAAATATCAACTACTTAATATTCCATTAAAGCAGATATACATTAAGATGTTTCTACAAAGTAACGAATATTCTCTGATAAGGTTCTCTGGAGTTTCCTCGATTGACTATTTAATTAGTATTGCGCTTTGCCCTTTTTATTGTAGATTTCGCATTTTTGTTTGCTTGCATAAAAGATATTTGTTATGCTGAAGTGGAGACACAAATAATTTTATATCGTTTACGTCATACACTATCTTATTACTTAAAGACAAGTATATAACATGAAAAGAAAAGATATTACTATCTACTATCTATTGGAATATCTTTTGTCTTATCAGATAAGAATTCCGTTAATAATTATAGCTATTGATAAACGTATGTTGAATTTTCAAAAATGTATAAAACTTTATAATTTGGTAGAACGTAATGTTTTCTCTGATATAAAGGTGCTAGGACAACCTCGTTCATAGTGTAACAAGCCTTGTATATATCATCATTCTAATTTGTTAAGACAATTAACACATTATTACGTGATACATCATTATCACAGTATTGAGTACTTAATCGGCGTACATAGATACCATATGGAGTTAAATTCTGACATGTCATTATTTATTGGTGTTTCAGATCATCTTTATTTATAACTCTTAATAACTCTTTCTTTGAGAGAACCATAAATAATTCATTGGGATATAAAAAAATGAATTACTCATGTTTTTGTTATATAGAATGCTGATATTTGCCATACTGTTGGTGAGGATACACGTGATTTGGTAATGAATAAAAGATATGAAAACAACCTAAGTTCCTTTTATATTTACGAGTAAAGGTAACACCTTGTGTAATTTTGTATGCAAACAGTACTAAAGGTTAATCCGTAGTTTTAGGAATGAATTTTCGGGACAAAGATTTAGTGCCATAGGGATTCATTTGAAATATAATATATTTGCAAAACTACAAGGGGAATATGCCTCATTTAATACATACAATATAAAAATGTAACAAAGTCAATTCTTATTTAAGAATATTAATTTATTATAACATGTAACATATGGACTACAAATACTTCAGAAGAAGATCTCAAGCGAAGTACTTTTCAAAATGAATATGTAATATGTATATGTACATTTGCAACTAAGAAGAATTGCACACGTACATTTGTACTTGGTGACGTTAACTGACATACGCGATGACGTTAATTAACCACCGTTGTCAACCCCGAACTTGGTTGTGTAATAACAACATGTATAAAGGTTTCAATATGTGCATAGCTTAAACATGTACCATTATCTGTATAATTAAAAGGGGAAACAAATGACTATTTGTTCAGTACCTTTTTCAGAATATGAAAATTCAACAATTGTAAAACATTTTTTTCTTTTCAAAAGTTTTGTGTTTCTTACCTCTCAACATCGACCGTTTATCCATTCTATCATTGATTAAGTCGATCAATTATTTTGATAATTAATTCCTCTTTCAATATCCTGTAGCTATCTTCCATTATTAAGACTAGCTTTGTTCTCTATTATTTTTGATTTTTAATATCTGTCTTAATTACTGAGTATTGAAATGCTGTCGTTATACGTCACTGCTTCAGGAAATACAATGCGGCAATCATGGTATAAGCTTATGTATAAACCAGAGGATTTCCAATTCCTTACTAACAGGAAATAACTTTCTGATCGTTTCCGTACGTTTGCTTCTTCACCTTTGCCACGCAGAACATTTGTATGAGCTAAGTGCATACATTAACGTTGACCAAATATCGGTATAACTTTGACATGCTATGTATTGTCATTTGTGAATCCTTTGTGGATATGTTAGTTAAGCCCTAACTTTATGTGTGAAATATCCATTTTTATTCCTTACAGCATTAAGGTAATGTCAGAAGAAAATGAAAAGTAAAAAAAACAAAACATGGCTATCCGTATTTCGTTATAAACTAAGTTATATGAGAATATAACGGACCTTCGGGTTTCAACTTTTAAGAGGAAATAAGATTGTGTCGAGACAAACCTTTCTGGTAATATTACATTAAATGGTTTTTACAAAAACTTGTTCAGAACAATTCTTGTCGATTTTAATAAATTAATGTGTCTTGTATAACACTTTCCAGGGAAATGAAAATCAAGGAAATTGATACATTAAGTCTCTCTTCATTTTTATGAAATACATATATTTTACTTCTATATCCTTAAAATAATCTATAATGAGCATGGGAAAAAAAGACAACTTTTATTTAAATGAAACAGGTGAAAAGAGCCAAAACAAGTGTGCCTAATATTTCTGAAAAACCCCGCCATTTCTGCATCACAAGATACTTTTAAAATGAGATTGACTCACAGGTTATACAAAGAATATCAATCGTATTAAAGAAATATTGAATCCATTCAGATGCCTTTGATTAAATAAAATTAAAATCCTGAAAGTTTTCCGGGCATTCGCAACTACTGCATTTGCTCATTAGTGATGTCACACTTTCTTTGGTGGATTTGCGCAATCTTTTTAATGTTTTCGGTTTGTTAAAATATTCGTCTTGATGAATGTGTTTATACAATCTAACGGTATCTTCATTACCTAAGAATACTTATTTTGCCTAGCATAAATATATTAGACACAAGAATGAAATCAATATAAAACGCGTAAATTCAAACACCATGGAAACAAACAACCTTCAATTTTAATTTGCAATTAACAGAAAAAATTGTAGTATCACATATCGAATATATAAATTATGACATACGTCTTTTTGAATCTTAGCAGTTCTATTTAAAAATATTGAAAGAAATTATTTAAGTTTTGATTACTTTTTATTGTCTCACCGAAATAAGATACACTCATGACAGGAAATGCCTGTAGACTAACCCTTAATCAAATATCAACAGAAAAAAAATCCGTTTGTAACGTGTGCAGACGTATGTTGTGTTAGCACATATTTGCGCTTAATACCATTATACATGTAGAATGAATGCTTCCTTTGAATTCTAAAAGGTATAAAAAGTTGCTTTATAGTGCTTCATTTTTATATCGCTACTAAAAAATACACACCGACCGATGCTCAACCTTGCACCGAAGATAGTGCAGAAAATATGACGCCACTGCTCCACAGCATAACATGATTGAGGTCAACATTGAAAAGAAAGGCGAAAATAGGAATCTAGGGAATTCAAAGCAAAATGAGAGGAAATTTGCATTAAGCTCATACGCTGTTGCAGACTGCACCATGTGTTCTTGAAATGTAAGCGTTTCCCGGCAGCACCACGTGTGGGACCAATCATGATGTGTCCCGTCAAATCTGGGACATTGTATGGTGTACAGATACCGTGAAGATAAATTGAATCATGGTCGACACTGAAATCTCAACCGTTTGATGCCAGGTCAACATGACGTTCTTAAACGTACAATTAATCTCCTTAGGTAGGAAAACATGGCCTTGTGGTTAATAAGTCGCCAAAACACTCTACCAAAATAAATCATGCTACTTAAAATATCCTTGAGAGGAAGGAAACGGCATATGTTTTTTCACGAGGTGACTGTTTTTGCATCTATAACCTAGGCAAATGTATTGCTAATATGAAAACATATGACTATACGTATACTTATAATGAAAATCACTGCAAACAATTTTTGGAGGCATATTTGTGAAACATGTATATTGCATTTGCTTCAAGATTATACTCCTCCTGACGGCTTGACGAAATGTAACAATATTTGGTGTATTTTCTCTAGAGACGGTTATGTAATGTTCAGAAATGCTGAAAATTGCCAATGACAAAATATATCATGGTATGTTGAAATATTTAAAGGACATCTCATCATCTCCTCATCAGCATAGCATTACGTCACAATTAATTATATTTTACATTTCCGCTAACGGAGGTATCGTTCATTTTCATTATGATATGATTTTCATTATGACGAATATTTTCAGGTTTTGCCGGTAAAAATATGATAAACATAAATTTCATGAAAAATGTTTTGTTTAATAAAAAAAACGACCAAGTCTCATAAATTAATTGTTTTACGATAATGTTGCCTCACAAATCAAGACTTTTACTAAGTTGGTCAGATTCAAACGTCGCAACGAGCAATGCATTGTTAGTACGCTCGTTCTATGATGATCTATTGCGATGGATGCGCTGATCGAGTGTTCATATTGGACGTACACGAATGCCTTGAAGACTGATCATATTATGTTGAAAGGCGTATACTTGTACAGGAATTTCGTGCCAGCCGGCCATGTAACGTGGCTCATTAAGAGATAAAAACCAACTGATCCTGACATAATTACCGACATGTTCGCTATATCTTACCTGGTAGGTGACCGACATACTGTCCTGGGCTTGACAGGGATATATATAATAAAGTCTATTATATCATGTAGAAGTTACATGTGATGAGCGAAAAAGAAATAATTTTACGAACCACCTCGATTCACCTCTTTATTTTCTGGAATTATCTTTCACATGTACAGTAAAAGTGTCACATATATTTGAAAATCCCCAAAGGATATAACATTATACTGTATACATGATTATTTTCAACATATTTATATTTTCAATGGTGCCAGGAAGTACAATATTCAACAACACAACAAACGTTATAAATGTTCAACAATGCAATAAACTTAACAAATATTGAACAATACAATAAACATTATAAATATTGAACAACACAATAAACATTATTTCGAATACTTTTCCAACACCACGGTAAACTTTATTTATTCAACATGCATATTCAACACTTCAATAAAAACTATAATTATGTAAAACACCACATGCATATTAAACTATATTTTTGCAACACTACAGTAAACAATTTAATATGTAACAATACAGTAAACACTAGCAATATTCAACGCTTTATCAAACACATTTACTATTCAACACTTTGTTAATTATTTTAAACATTCAACGCTACAGTATAGGTTCTTTAGTGTGACAAATATTCTTTTATCTTGTTAAGGTTATGACCGATCGAGAGTCAATAAAATGCACTTCAAAGAAAGATATCTTTTGTCAATATTAATTGGATATTTTTATTGCGTAAAGGTCTTGTGGCAAATGTCGACACTTCCGGCGATTAATATAACACCTAACAGACACAGGTAATAACCGTATCGTAAAAGTCAAACTTTTCCATGAAATCGATGATAGATGTGTGACGTGTTTGTATACAGAATACTTTGACAAAAAACTATTACATTTGTATATACATAAAGACGTATTTCCGTATATCAATTATATGAAAATGCTTATATTATCGCTACATGTATATGAGCAAACTGATTAAAATATTCATCTTAAACACTAATCTTACGACAATAGTACATTGTATACTGTACGTTGTGGTTAGAGTGATACAATGCATTGTTAGGTAAATGTTATTGTGAAATGAATAAGCCTTGTTCCTAGAAGCAATCTCCCGAATTCATTCTGTGTATCACGTCTTTGTTCAAGGTGTTTTGACAGAAACGTAATGATAATGTTGTTTAACCTTTTCTTAACCTCTAAAACTCTAATGAACTAAAGAAATATGTGTTTCCTTTGTTGTGTATTTTTTTTTAATTTATTTGTAAAAAATCTTATATAAATAATATCACATTCATGTGCTTCATAAACGTTGATTAAGGATAACTGTATGACTGTTGCAAGTGCCATGATACATACATCGATATTGAATCTCTTCAAATTTCCCTTGCCATGCATCACCGCAAACAATAGAAACACTGATTAATTAATTAAAAAAACGATTTGTTATTAATTTTCCATATGTTGCTATTCCACGATCGACAGC